ACCCAGCCATTGTGTCCAGTTTTAATCCTGTGTTTTCCCAAGTAATTAAGCCTTCTTGCTTATGAACTTGTGACTAAGTAAAGCATCACTGAGAGGTTGTAACATCAAAGTGCCTTCCACCGTCTGTCCATGTTTGATAAAATTGGATTTCTTTTCCTTCTTAAAGAAAAGCTAATTGAATTTAGGTGAAGACTGGGTATATTTGCACGAGCTAGTGAGAGCTATGCTAAGTCACAGTGATCATCCTGGGACCCCATGGCTTAGTCTTTAGCTAGGCTGGGTCAAAGTGCAACACAGAACGAGGCACCCAGACTCGGGCTACACAAGCGCCTTGTGGCATGAGGCTTACAGAGGGCTCACTGTGGGGAAGGAGGGGGGATCCTGGTGACTGCCGCTTGAGTCAACACTGTACCCAAGCTGTTACTAGGGCTGGCAAAAGGACTGTCCAAGTAGAACGTTGGTAAATCTTGGACAGATTGGCAAGAGAAGACAATGGCCACATTACTCAAGTCCTTGATGTCAGCAGTCCAAGTAAGTGCCTCAAGGCAAAGGCTGCGACTTCCTCTCTGAGTCCCCCACAGCCCAGCACAACAGGACCTGACAGAGTACTTTGAGAAAATGTTTGCTGGACACATTAAAGAAAATGACACTATAACGGGATGTAATAACACAGCTCCTTCCTCTCTCTTAAACAACCGAAAGTCTCCCCCATTTTTGCCTTGTCAAAATTTCCACTGAAATTAATCCTCAATTTCACTAATTACCTAACTTACAACGAGTACAGACAGCATAGACTCATGTGTGTAAAATTATACACATATATGTACGTATTTATACAATGATCAACCTCTTGATAGAGGGAAGTCAGGTGGCTGCTACTTTCTTCTCTATATCACTTTTATAAAAATAGTAAAACTATTTTCAGAAAAGAAGAGTCTCTGGTTCAATCCTGATACAATTATCTTTTCTTTTTACCAATAAGCTTTCTGATCTTGATCTGGTTTTAACTCTCCTGTGTATGCTTGTATTTGTATTTTAAGTCCTACTCAAATCCTTTTTGGAATTAAGAGGTAATAAATGATAAATTAAGTTCCTATACTTTTTTTTTTAATTTAACACTATAGCACTTTAGAACTATTTCCTATTCAAAACTAAGACAGACAATAAATACTGTAATACAGAAATACCAGTTCACAAGAAGGTAAACTTTTGAAGAACAGAGATTATCACACTTTACATCGCTAACTTCTCACCCTAAACAGGCATGTGCGGGTGAAACAGCTGGGCTGCTCTTGGGATCCCCCTTGAGCCTACGGACTGCTGGCATTCCAAAGGTGGGAACACTTCTCTGCTCTTAGCCTTGAGTCCGGGTGCTACCCCCTTACCTTCCTTTTATCCAAAATCAATTCAAAGATGGTGGCATTTCAAGCCTGGCCAATCTGATTACAGAATATGAGAATAAGCACACTTATAACATGGAGAGACTTCCTGGCAGATTGTGCTGGTATGAACATGATCTTTCAAGACTATTCACACAGGCACTTACCAACGAGGCCCACTCACCCTGACCAATGTACTGCTAGGACACCTTTTTTACTACTTACACTTTTCTCTGCAGCATGTCTTACCTTCTAATAGTTTACTTCTGCACTACACTTATGCATTTATTTGACAGGCAGAGAGACTGAGGGACAGAGACAGAGAGAGCTCCCATCTGCTGGTTCACTCCCAAGTGCCCTTGACAGCCAGGACCAGGGCTGACGTCAGGAGCTAGGAACTCAATCCAGGTCTTCTGGGTAGGGTGGCAGAAACCTAACTACTTGAAACATCAGCATTGCCAACCAGGGTCTGTATTTTCAGGAAGCTGAAGCCAGCAGCCAGAGCTCAGCACTGAAGCCAGGTATGCCAACGTAGGAAGTGGGGGTCTTCTATTTTCTGAAGATTTATTTTTTAAAAAATTTATTTATGTATTTATTTATTTAAGAGAGAGACACACATCTCCCATTGGCTAGTTCACTCCTCAAATGCCTACAAAAGCTGGGGCTAGGCCAGGCCAAAGTCAGGGGCTATGAACTCAAGCCAGGCTTCCTACATGGGTAGCAGGGATTTAACTACTTGAGCCACCACTGGTGCCTCCCAAGGTGCTCATGAGGAAAAAGCTGGAATCGGGAATCGAGCCAGGACTCAGAATCAGTACTCACACCCAGGCACGTTGTGGGATGTGGACATCCCAAACAGCTTCTTAACTGCTGCACCTAATGCCTACCCCAGAAGTGGGTTCTTCAACAGCATCTTAAGCCGCAGACCAAACAGCGACCCCTTGAAACCACCAGTAGTAGAGAAATAATTATGTGGGCAGGGATCTTTCTTTATCACTGATATTATTTCAAGTACCTACAGTAGTACCTGTAAAAAGTAAGGACCAACAAATTTTTTGTAATATGAATAAATAAATCCAACCAGAGAATATATGCTATTTTTAATACAAATCTGTTGTCTCTTGATTCTAGAAGGAAGAGAATGGCACAAAATGGATACTTAAGAAACTAGTAATTAGTTCTAGGCACCAAAGCAAGTAAATACAAGCCAACACTCTCACTTTGCTCAACAAGCATCACTGATTTGCTAATGGCTCTGGATAAAGACAGAACAATCAGTTAAACCAACAACTCATTAGATTCAGAGAGAAGTGTCCCCAAAAGCACATTTATTAGCTATCTGACCACTAATTGACAGTAATCTTAAGAACGGTGCCTTCCTACTCAGTTTCAACCCTGAAAACACTACACACAGAAGGGCATATGCCTCCTTCCTCACCACTGCTGGCTAGTCCTTGCAGGTGGAAATGCTTGCCAGCTGGGCAGGGTGGAGGGTCAGCAGGAGTGGAATAAACACTTGTGTTCTGCTGTGCACAGAGGTCTAATGTGGGCATCAGGGAGTAACAACTCACCATTTATAACATGTAGTACATCCATTATCTTATTTGATTCTTGACAGAGTACGAGGAGAATTTACTCTACTGCAAGATTGAGTCCCCTCACCTGCTCTGCTTCAATAATGTCCTAGACACACTGCTCTGACGTCACGGATGTCACTTTATCACGCTTCTTTGCCTGCTTTTCTTTTCTACATTAGACTGCAAGCTTCCCAAGATCTCTGACTCTCTGAAGACTGGCACAGGCCTTGCTCAGAGTAGGTACTTACTAAATGTCTGGAGAAATAATGTTTGATGATGAAACAAACTGTCATGAAGTTCTGAATTTCAACTAAAGGTCAAAACCAGGTCTCTCAACTGCAGACTATTTATTTAAAAAGTAATTTATTAAAAAGTCAGTGCTTAGAGATAGCCAACAAGGAAACTGAGTGACTGAGAACAAGTTCATAATAAAGGAGCAGTGTATGGGGCCGGTGCTGTGGCGTAACCTTTGCCTGCAGTGCTGGTATCCCATTTGGGCATCGGTTTGAGACCCGGCTGCTCCACTTCCAATCCAGCTCTCTGCTATGGCCTGCGAAAGCAGTAGAAGATGGCTCAAGTCCTTGGGCTCCTGCACCCACGTGGGAGACCCGGAAGAAGCTCCTGGCTCCTGGCTTCAGATCGGCACAGCTCTGGCTATTGTGGTCAATTGGGGAGTGAACCAGTGGATGAAGACCTCTCTCTCTCTCTTTCTCTCTATCCCTCTCTCCCTCTTTCTCTCTCTGCCTTTCCTCCTCTATATAATTCTGATTTTCAAGTAAAATAAATAAATCTTTAAAAAAAAAAAAAGAGCGGTATAGACAGGCCTATCTCAAATACAGCTAAACCTCTTGGCCAGTCTGAGGCAGTACCACCCTGTGTTAGAAAATCCCCATTTCATTGCCCTTTTCTACATTTCTGACCCTTCCAAAGATGGCAAGTACTGGTGAACAAAAGCCTTGAAGAACTTCTTGAGAGGCCGGTGTTATGTCCCAGCAGGGTGAGCTGCTGCCTGCAATGCTGCCATCCCATATAGGTATCAGTTCAAGTCCCAGCTGCTTCCAATTCAGCTCCCTGCTAATGCACCTGGGAAAGCAGTCGAAGATGGCCCAAGAGCTTGCGCCTGCTGCCCTGTACATGGGAGACCTGAATGGACTTCAGGTTCCTGATTTCAGTCTGGCCCAGCCCTGGCCATTGCAGTCATTTGGGGGTGAGTGAACCAGGGGGATGGAAGATCTCTATATTTCTCCTTCTCTCTCTGCAACTCTACCTTTCAATCAAGTAAAATAAATCTAAAAAAAAAAAGAGCTCCTTGAAGTAAAAAATCAAAATTGATACCTCCAACTACCAATGCAGACTCCAGGACGGAAACTGGCATGGACTGTGATGGAAAGGCAGCACTAGTGCTAGGCTGGAATCTGACATCAGGAGCAGCAGGGAGACACTGCACAAAACACCAACTCTGCAGGCAGTCAGGCCACGTTTTGAGTCCTGTCCATGTGACTTTAGACAAATCACTTTACCTCTTTGGGCTTCAGTTTTCTCAGCTGCACAATGAGCATCATAATAGCTTTATATACTTGGGGTAGTTGTGAGAATGATAGATAACTGTAGAAACAAAGTGTGATCTTCACACAATAGCTCCAACCCCAAGGGAATGGGGCAGGGGGTAGGCCAATGGCACACTATTCCTCTCACAGGGGACAGTGACTGCAGACTTCCCAACATACACAGACGTGGACAATGAGAACATAACTCACGCAAGTGCACTCCATCACTGATAACAGGCTCTCAAACGTGTGGGTGCTCCAGTAATGCAAACAACGTGTCTAAGGTCGCAAAGTCAGTGGATGATGGCGCTGGGATCCAAAGCCTCCCCCTCCACATCTATAGCAGTCCAGTGTACCAGGTGCAGGCAAGTACCTTAGACTGAATCCATTTCCCTGCCTCTAGAGAAGACAGCAGGGGACAGCAAGGGTGGGGACATTCAGGAACATCATGTGCAGAGATCTGGCTGAGAGGGTCCTGGGTCGAAGGAGAGGCTCACCTGTCGTTTCGGTTGATGGCAGCCACCATGAGTGCTGTCCAGCCCAGTTTGTGCCTTGCATTGACATCTGCGCCTTCTGACAATAGCCTAAAAAAACAGAGGAATATTTTAAGTGCATGGCTTGCCCCGGACGTAAGAGCAGAAATAACCACAGAAGAAATGACAGTCAATGAACAGGGAGGCGGGGTGAGTCAGGAGAGAGGCCTTTAAGAACTAAATGCCAATCCCTGCCCCTGTGGTCTCTTCACCAACCCAAGGCTTCTCTTACCTCTCTCTTTCTTCCCTTAAATGAGAGGGAAGCCTCTTGAGCTGAGAGCCTCTTGAGAACAGAATGTACCGCCCCTATCCTCCCTCCCCTGGCTCTCTGCTGCTCCCAGGCTGTGTGGTACAATTATGGCTGTGGCCTCCTGAGAAGCCTTCTTGGACCCACCCACTTCACACATCACTCTTGGCTCCTTAATTGCCCAATACTCAGCAAAGAATGCCTAAAACTGGGTCTTATCTATATCTAGGCAGTTCCCAGTATACAAAAGGATTGCATCCTTCAAACTGATCTGTATCATAGCTGTTCGGAAATTCACAACCCTTCAACACAGGCAAAGATGGACCAAACAGTAGAAATGCTGTATCAGGTTCCTAGGAGAGCAGACATGAACCCTGCCTGAATCTATGTCAGTGCCCAGCACACAGGAGCTCAATAATCACTGAGTACATGAACGAACACAGAGTTCAGAGTCTACTACTCAAAGTGTCGATTCTGGGTCCCAGGAACCTTATGACGTGGGGGTGGGTAGAGGGGAAGGGGAGTAAACGGAACACTTCTACCGAGCATGTGTCCCAGGCAGGAACTGTACAGGCTACTTCCCATTACCTACGCCTTGCACAGTCTAAGGAGCTTTTTTCAGGGAGGGAGCAGCAGGCTCAGTGAAGTGACATGACTTTCTCAAGGCTGCACAGCTAGTTCAGGGCAATGTCGGGACTGCAAGTCGCGTCACTAACAACTCTGGAGCCCGATCCCTTCTCACCTCCCTTCCTAGACAGCCTGCCTCTGAGTAGTGTGAAAGGCCAAGGCTAACCCGATGACAGCAAATCAATACACACGTGCCCAATCCTATGCTGGAAACCGGACTAGGTGAGAAGACATGCCACTGTAGGGCAGCAAATGAATTAGCAATGGGGCTTGGGCCAGCACAAAGACTGCTGTGACTACAGAGACCACTGTGCCAGGAAAGGGGAGGCAAGTCAGGAGTGTGATTCACCAAGCTCCAGGGTCTCTCCTGGAAATGGCAGGGGGGGCCCGGGGATTGGGAAGGTCTATTCTCTGGTGGGGTCTAGCCCTAAACGGGCAATGCGCAGAGAGCCCAAAGGTGTGGCTTTGACTCCTAACATGATTCCTGTGCCTCGATCTGCAGTCAGCACTCCCCTGCACCATGCCCAACAAGCTGGCGGGCTGCCAAGCAAGCAGGTAACTCAGGCTTGGGATGGTGCTGAGAAACATCACGTGGTCGTCTGCCCACTCTGCCAGGATGTCCGTGTGCCTTTTACAATGCCGGGGCAGTGAACGGCACAGGCCAGCAAGCACAGAAACTACACTTTCACGACTGTTGTGAACCGGGACCAGAGGTGCACAAAGAAACCTAACTCAGTGAGGGTGTGATGATAAAAGGGTTAGCTGGACCAAAGAGGGCAGTGTTCCAGGCAGAGGGACTGGCCCCTTCCCTAGAGGAGGCAGTCTCTCTCCCTGTCTGTAACTCCACTTGTCAAATAAAAACAAAAACAAAAACAAAAACCACCTCAGTGGAAAGGGCTGACAGATGCCTGGCATTCCTGCACTGCCAGTGCACTGCTTTCTCAAGACAGACATCAACAATCCTCCCAGCTGCTCTTCCTGGAGGAGCCTTTGAAAGAGCCCCAGAATCCTCCTGCCCTGTCAGGACATGAAACTTGAGGGCGCATGTCAGGAGAGGGGCAGGGGAAATCCTCAGCTCTGACCTTGAGTCTGGAGGATTCCTTTCAGTGGAAGTCCAGGGTCTCTTACTATTTAAACCTCTGGTATGCAGAAACAATTTTCCATGGCCAAGAATGGTGACAGGCCTAAGAACCCTGGGCGTGGATTTTCCGTGACACAGAAATCTTTCGCACAACACCTCCCTCCCAATTTACAAAAGTTCCGTTGTCCACCCCCTACCTCACCCCGTAGCAGGCAGTGTGGAGGACTGACCCCAACCACAGTTCTGATGGGATGGTCTTGCAGTTCTGACCCACACTGTAGAAAAGGCTAGAAAATCAGGACGGGTTGAAGAAACTCAAAAAAGTTTCGGAGGGAAAGACTTGACCGGGGTCAGGCAAGGCAAAATGAGGAGGCCACAGGCAGACTCTCTGGGTGACAGTTCATAGCAGTGACAGCTGTGGAGGCACACGGGGTCTACTCAGGGCTTCATGACAATCCAGCAGGCCAGGGCAGTAGGCATAAACCTTTTTGCAGCTGTGAATTCTTGTGAGAAAATGACACAGGAACACACATACACATAGGTTTTTTTAAAAACATGTAATGTCCAGGAGCTCACTAACCCTATGAAATCAGTAACAGGTCCTGGGATAAAACTTCAGTGGAGGGGCTGGCGCCGTGGCTCACTTAGTTAATCCTCTGCCTGCGGCACCAGCATCCCATATGGGCGACGGTTCTAGTCCCGGTTGCTCCTCTTCCAGTCCTGTTCTCTGCTGTGGCCCGGGAAAGCAGTGGAGGATGGCCCAAGTGCTTGGGCCCTGCACCCGCATGGGAGACCAGGAGGAAGCACCTGGCTCCTGGCTTCAGATCGGTGCAGTGCTGGCCGTGGCGGCCATTTAGGGAGTGAACCAACAGAAGGAAGACCTTTCTCTCTGTCTCTCTCCCTGTCTGTAACTCCACTTGTCAAATAAAAACAAAAACAAAAACCACCTCAGTGGAAAGGGCTGACAGATGCCTGGCATTCCTGCAACTGCCAGTGCACTGCTGTCTCATGACAGACATCAACAATCCTCCCAGCTGCTCTTCCTGGAGGAGACTTTGAAAGAGCCCCAGAATCCTCCTTAACTCGGGCATCAGTCAGCCACTGTCAACTGACCGAAGCTAGCAATAGAAAGGAAACCTATTTTCTATTTCTTGGCCATTTACCAAAGACAGTGGGCTGTCATTCAAGGTTTTGGGGAAAAAAGAAATGATCAAATGCTTAAGTAGGCTACATCTGAAAGATGCAGAGTAGAAAATGGGGATGAGGAGACCTGGATACTTCACCGGAGTTTCCCTCTCTGGTCTCCCAGGATACCCACCTGGGAGGCCAACATCTCCCAGCCAGCAAAAGCAATGCTCTAAGAACCTCCTCTCCCATGTCCCTTTTGGACCTGTGCCTCGATCTATAGTCAGCACTCCCCTGCACCATGCCCATGTGAGCACTGCCCTGATGTAGGCTACGGGGGAACTTGATGTCAACTTACAGTGCCAGTGTCCTCTCCAAAACACCTGCTCTGCTCATCCTCCCACCAGCAGGAAAGGGTATTCCTGGGTACTCCCCCCTGCCAAAGCTTGGGAGCAGCCAGCTTCCTAATCACTGTCAATCTGATCGATACGAAGGGCATCAGAATACTGTTTTATCTTGGGACACTCGCCAACAATTTTGAGCTGCCTGCTGTATTTGTGTCTGCATTCTGGGGTTGTCTCTTCTGGATCTGCAGGATTTCTTTCTAAGAGAAGGGACTGCTGGCAATGGCAGTTTCTTTCAGCTTGCTGTCAGAGTCAGGAGTCCTGGGTTCTAATTCCAGCTCTGTCACCCACTTACAATACCCCAAGGAGGGCAAATCATCTCCCTTAGCTGCAGTCTCTCCACTAGCCCACTGAGGACCAGCTCCTGCCAGCTCTACAGGAGTTTTAGGGGAGCAGCAGTGAACATGAAGAAGAGGGCTCCCTCCAGGAGGTGAATCTTGGTGTCTCCATTGAGACAACAGTTTCTAAGCACATCTAGCTTCCTGATAATGTTGGTCTTTGTAGCCTCTTGGGACTGAGCAGTAACAGAAAACAGCAGCAGCCCTGAGTGTGGAGTCCACATCCTGGCCCTCCGGCTTCCTAGCTGTAATATGTGGCTCTCAACCCCTCCTGTCAAGGCAGCTCTAAGAATCTAGAGACACAACACATCTGTAAGGACTGGAGGCACCAAAGCTCGCTTCACTGCCACCAGAAGCAAACTCAACCACAAACGACTTTTCCTTTTGGAAACCTGGGTAGACACCTCTCTTGCTTCCCCAGCACAGAGCAGCCTCAAAGTTAGGATTTCACAAGCCAGGTCTCCACCATTTCATTTTGCCTTTATGTTTTTATAAATTTTTTTGTCTCGGCAAGTGAATGCCCAGCAGGCAGTCATTTCAAAGTCCCAAGCCAGCTGCGGGGGAGAGGGGGTGGCGGGAGGGACTGCCTGCTGAGAGCGGCTGAAAGGGCCTCAGAGGACTAAGAAAGCCACCCTTGCTCTCTCCTGTGATTGTCACCAATGGACCAAATGGGCAAGTGAATTAATCTCTCTTAAAAAGAGCAATGCTTGTGACAGAGCACGGTGTCTCCGAAAAGGTTAGGATTCCATCATCCCTGAGATGATGAGTAGAATGTTTAATGCAGGCTGCCACTCAGGGCAGAGCAGCCTACATCTGGGGGCTGGGTACAGCGGGCTCCAATGGGCTCACTCCAGACCCCTGTAAGGCCCTTCCCTAAGGAACCAGCTCTCCTGGCTAGGGAGACAGTGGTGGGTGATTATTCACTGGGAATGACTCAGGGTACCTGACAGAAAGGGGAACCTGCAGGAAGTCAGGAGTTGAATCTCAGCTCTTGTACAACTCTTAGGCAATGCAGTGGGACAGGAAAGACCTTGGTGCAGAGCCACTTACTGGATGGGGAGCTGTGAATGAATGAGTGACTTAGTCTCTCTGAACTTCACCTTGGTTCCCTCTTTTATCTGATAGTTCCTGCTCTCTCAGCCTATTTCTGCATCTATTACAAAATGGAGAGGTCCCTAGCACTGAAAGTACATGTCACATAGGAGCACCAAGAGACACTAAGACAAAAA